CTTTAATAGCAAGAAACAGACTATGTTAAGTAGCTAGAGGATGTGCAATAAGTAAGGTAGCATGCAGAGAGTAAGGATTTAGTTCTCTAGGTAATAGTCCTTAAACTCCTAGTTAAGATAGCTCTTATAGCTGTCTAAGATAAGCAGCCTGTACACTCCTACCTAACGCGTCTTTGTATGCGTGTTAAAGTGCTTTAACTACTTAAGGCTAAGCATGTTGTTTATCTAACTATTCTTAGAGACTAAGAGCTTCTAATTGTGGGGTATATCTGTCTCCTCATACTAGGCAGAGATGTGGACGCGTCCTTTGTAGATGATGAAAGGTGGGGTTGCATACCCAGCGGCGCAGATGCTCTGGATAACGGTAACCCACTTGCGATCACCTGGCTGAACAAGCTCTGGCTGAGCACGTCTCTCTAAGCCTGTTACAACCTTTAAAGACAAAGCAACGCCTATCTAGAACCTAGTTTTATTAAAGTTATGCACGTTATTATTACAAACACCATACTTAACTTAAGTATCCTCCACTAGCTTAAACTACGCGCTAATTATCTTAGGATCTTCCTGTAGTATCCTCTGTCTATCCTTAGCTTGATTGAAGGCCATTTTAAGCTTGTCTGAACGCGTCACAAGCCTGCTAGCCTATAGTTTGCTAACAGGCTCTTCACCACGCACACTAAGTATCTTATCAGCCATATCTGCCACCTTACATAGCTAGGGCGCAAATCCTCGCGAATTAAGGTTAAGTATATACTAGATAATTGTCTGCTCCTCTAGTATAGTAAGTTTCTAGCAATTAGCGCGTACGTCTAGTTAAAATGTGATATTGTAAAGGTGATCAGAGACCCACTGATAAGGTATGTTCAACGCTCTAGCAGCGCTGCAGATACTGCGAAATTGGCCAGCATAGAAGGCCTAGATAGCAAGGATAACTCTGCCTTCTCTAGTAGTATTCTAAAGTTGTTATTGTTGAGGCATGTTGTGTTGGGGTAAAAGGTGGTTGTGCCAAGAGAAAGTGGCTGGTTCGGTGATATGGCCGGCTCGGTGATAATCTACGTTATATATATTAATAGAGTAGATAAAGCAGTATCTTAAGTATCTACTTTGCACGTACGTGAATTATGGCCAGTCTCTCTGCACCTCCTGCAGCGCGCTAGAGCCTGGCGGCTAAGGCCTGATTGATCTCCTCCTTGACGCTGCTCACGAGCAATCTGCTGGTCAGCCTCACGTTGAGCGAGTAGATCCTCTCCAGCTCCCTTTGTTAAGACCCCACTCTGCTGTATACGCTTTTTCTTACGCTGTTTGCGTGCTGACGCTGCCCCA